TCATCCTAGACAGAGCCTATAGTGGAAGAGAAACCTGGAAGAGTCCAATAATAAGGAGCACCTGCAGTGGACTAGCTAAGAATTGGAAGTGAAATTCTACTGAATTAAGCCAGCAAGAGTATAAGATTTTTCTGTGGCAGTAACTAACATTTCTCTAATACACTATTTTGCAGGACTGTGAAGATTAATATAAATTACCCACCATAATGCCTGAAAAAGTGCATACTTGGAAAATATAACTATTTCAGGTCTCCACAAATGGAAACGCACTGCACAGTATCTATGATATAGCATTAGCATGTAGATACGTGTTTGTAAATTGTGCATGCACCACACTTACTGAGACCTTACGTTCATTCTTATGTTTAGTCATAACAGCACTATTATATAGTAGGTTCTATCATTTGTCCCATTTTACAGATGAATAAACTAAGGCTCTGAGAAGTTAAGTAAGTTATCTAAGACTGTAAGAAGATATTATACACAGGGAGTAGCCAATGACAGAGCTGAGCCCTTAACCCAGTTCTCAGTTACTCTATTTTTTTAAATTCAGAAAGGAGAAATCTATAGGGTACACAAAAGCTAATCACTAATTTGATGTAGGAGAGAGAGAGAGATTTTAGAGCCCAGTCAGGGTGACTTCCCTGGCAACAGGCCTCAGACAGTCTCCTTTGCTTGTGCTGTAATAACAACAATGAAGATAAATAACAAATACCAACAGAATACCTATGAGATATCAGGCACTCACTGTTCTAAATTCTTTACAAGTATTAACTCATTTAATACTCAGAACAACCATACAGGATAGGTTCTATTATTGTGTTCACATTGATGATAGAGAAACTGAGGCACAGCATGGTGAGGTAATGAACAAAGATACACAAATAGTGAGAGGCAAATGTGGAATTTGAACCCAGGCAGTCCGGCTGCCAGGCCATGCACACTACCCATATAACTGAACTATGGCTTGTCATAGCTCCTCAACATGGGTCATATCCTGACATCCCAGTTGCTTGAAATCTCACCTCACCCCAGTTTCAACAAGTGATATCTAACCTAAAAGGAAGGTTGTTCATGTGTGTGGGCTGGGGTGGGAGAGCAGGAAGATACCATCCTGCTACTTGCAGTCCCTTGAACATGCACTTTCCCACCTATGTTTGTTATTCTTTCTGTCAGGGATGTTCTTTTCCATTGCCATCTATAGCAATCCTACAGATGCTTCAAGAACCAATTCAAGAACCACCTCTCTCCTTGATTTTCCTGGACACAAACAATCTCTTCCTTCTCTGTGCTTCCACATAAATTCATTTATAAATTATTACTTTTTACTAAAATTTAAATTTTATAAATTATGTGCTTCCGCATAAATACATTTATAAATTATTAATTTTACTCTTTTAAATACCCAACATAAAGATTACCAATACAGTTGAAGTCCCACTGTGGCCCTCCTAGTTTGTGTCAGTCTTCCTACCCTCAGGAATCACTGGTCTCCAAAATTTGGTATTTGTTCTCGCCATAGTATTCAACTTATATAAATGTTATCTTGCTATAAAAAGCATCTTGCTTGTTTCACTCAACATCATGATTTTAAGACTCTTCTAATTTTATGCAAGTGGTTCATTCATTTTTTGTTGCTATATAAATGTCATTTATATGAACATTGTAATATTTCTTTCTTCTCTTGTTAATGGGACACCTGGGTTCTTTCCGACTCTTTTGCTCTAAGAAACCATGTCTACACTCACATCTGTGTCCTCATGGACTTTGAAGACTTTCTCTGGTAAATAGGTATCAGGAAGGATAACGTGGCAGTTTAAGACTTATAGGGCCAAGAGTTGATTAAGATGTAAACCCAGAAAGGTAAAGAAGCCTTGGTGGCTAGTTTCTTGTATGAATATCTTAAGGCTTCAGGAAGGCAACTGTGAGACTGAAAAACTGGGCAGCAGTCTTTGTCATCCTCCAAGGACCAGGGGACAAAAACCGGAGTCTAGCGTGTGCAATGGAGGAGCCCATGAAAAACTCTCAGCTATTTCATCAGGGCCCCAAAGAACCATATTGTAAGAGCAAAGATGGATAACAAGCAAAAATCGAGATAAATATCAAACAGTGAAACAGACATAAAGGGAACCTAGGTAATTTACTCATTAGAAAGATTCTAAAAATATCTGTTCTTACTATGTTAAAGGAGAAAAATGACAAGATTGAGAATCTCATCAGAAAGCTAGAAAATAATGAAATTAGGAAATAGAAAATCTGGAACTGACAAATGTAATAACCAAAGTAAGAACTCAGATGGTGGCTTTAATAACATAAGAGACACAGCTGAATAGAGATTAAGTGACCTGGAAGATAGACCAAAAGAAAATATCCATAATGTACACCAGACTGACAAAACAATATGGGAGGTCTATAGATTGCAGTGAAAAGAACTAATATAAATGTGATTGGCGAAAAAAGAGTAAGAAAGTGTGTGTCAATATCAGTGTTTAGAAAGTATCTGTGTAAGAGATGAGAAAGGGAGAAGACAAAGGGGACAGGCCACATGATAGGGGCAGAGATTTGAGTGAAGCTGCACAACCAACAGGAACATCTGGAGCCACCAGAGGCTAGAAAAGGCAAGAAAGGATTCTCTACTAAGGTCTTCAGATGGGGCATGGCCTTAATGATCCCCTTATGTTGGACTTTTGGCCTCTAGAACAATAAGAGAATACATTTCTGTTGCTTGAAGTCAATAAGCTTGAGAAAATTTGTTATGGCCGTCCTAGAAAACTAATATGGGATAGTAAAGTCAGAGTGAAGAAAGTAATTAGGCTTTATTTTTTTTAATATATTTTATTTATTTATTTGAGAGAGAGAGACCACAAGCAGGGGGAGTGGCAGAGGGAGAGGGAGAAGAAGACAATCCGCTGAGCAGGGAGCCCAACGCAGGGCTCGATCCCAGGACCCTGGGATCATGCTTTGAGCCGAGGCAGATGCTTAACCAACTGAGCCACCCAGGTACCCCAGCAATTAGATGTTAATTGAAAGATGTGAGCTTTGTTCTGGACATGCTTGCCAGTAGCCTTGTGGCCGTGAGTAAGTCACTTGGCCTCTCTGGGGTGCTTTCCTCAGCAGCCCGCGAGAAGGTGGGCCTGAATGATCAGAGGCCTCTGCCCACTCCAAGGTTCTGAGAGTTCCTTTCAAATTCTGTTCTGGCTAGCCTCAGACCCCTGATCTTCCTGAGGCTCTCAGGGGCCTGGACAATGGGCTGAGGCATGGCCTCTCCCTACGAAGTGACCATCAGGGCTAAGAAGGCAGGCATCCTCCCTCTAGAGACCAACATTGGGCCTAGGATTTGGTCTTATTTGATGGGACACCTGGATAGAGTCATATCATAAGGCTCCTTTTCACAGGACGCCAGGCTAAAAATTGCCCAGCACCGTACAGAGGGAGAACCAGTTGTCAGTGTGGAAGCTGAAGGTTAAATCACAGTCTGCTTCCTCTCTGGATTTATTGGCACTGGTGGAGCATCACTGGTCACTGCTGTGGGGGAAAGGAGTGAGGTGATGTCTGAGATTGCAGAGTCTGTGTCTATCTTCCCGTCATCAGAGACTGGCTTGGGCAAAGGAAGAGTTTTTAGCTCAAACGGTGTTTCTTAGAAGCGGTGGCCCTCTTTGCCCATCGCTCGCCCCCATAAACATCGTCTTCCTGGCTGGCCCTTGGCAGGCCTGTGCCAAGTGTATGATCCTCCACTGGGGTGGAGTCAATTAACACTGATTGAGTGAAGAGGATTCTAGGGCTTGGTTTGGGGCAGAAACAGCCATCCTTGGTCACTTGAAAATGTCGAGACTGTTCCTGCAGACTTGTACTGGAGCATTACGCACCACCGCTGTGCTCTGCTCACACTATTAGAGAGGCATGAGGTTGAGTCAGCGCGGCCTGTGCTCCGAGGATTTGGGATGCACCAGGAGGCCAAACCTGCCCTGTCTCCTACCTACTGCAGGGTCTCAGACCAGTGCCTTGATCCCTCCACCTGCAACCTGTGCTCAGCAAAATGTCACGCAGAGTCAGGTTTGCTCTACTCATCTCTGCAGGTAAGATCTACTGAGGGGGCTTAAAATACCCTATTTGGGAGAATAGGCTTGAGACTTATTACAAGAGCATATAAATGCTAAAAATAAAAACGAATCCCAAAGTGTGACATCTACGTTATATCTTAAAAGGAGGACTTTTAAATTTGAGGAGAAGCTTAAAAGAAGGATGTTTCAATGCAGCTTAGGTTCATTGCATCTATCACTAGGGTCCCTCCTTGTGTTACTGCCCATCTTCTGCGTCATCTACTCCTTCGAATGATCTGGGGAGATCTGGAAGTCAAATACTGTTTACAGAGGAGGAGCCTGAGAAGGTAAAAGGGCTAAGCATCCTGGTTTCCTGGAATTGTTATATGTTAACTTGGTGTTGTAACCTCAAGTCCCTGGTCAGTGAGATAGAAGCAGTGTCGTTACGGCAAGTCGCTCTGGTAGTATTTGCATCATGAAAATCATCTTTGAAGTGTCACAGAGCCAAGGCTTATCAAGCATTCCCTATGTACAACCATGCTAAGCCCTTTCATAGATGGTCTCCTCCGTTCTCACAAAAACTATGTGAAGGTACTATTATTACCAACCCTATTTTACCATGGAGGAGAATGAGGCACAGGGATGGGAAGTGACTGGCCCACCGACCCCCAGGTAAAAGGTGAAAGAATCAGAACATGAAGCCAGCCAGTCTCTCCCTAGCCTGGGCCCTCAATTATCAATAATAACAAGATATCTGTGGCAGGCTAAAACAATGCCAAACCCAGCACATTATTATTTAAAATCTTATTATTTTAAAAATATATCTAATCCCTCCTGCAAGACTTCCCATTAAGAAATGAAAATATTGTGTCCATGCTGTTTTATTTTTTATGCAACTGAATATTCTAGTGAATATAGAGCAAGAGAATTATCTTTTATTGTTCACAGAAAGAAAGTTGACACGTGTTCAAAATAATTGCTCGGTTTCTTTATCTGATCCAGTTTCTCTTTGCCACTGAATTCTGAAAAAAGAAGAGAAAAATGCACTGCTTGGATCAAATCATTATCAGAATCGAGACAAGGCCTGTGGGCATGTTATTGCACAACGTATTTTAAAAATTACGCCTCAGTTTGACAAGTCATAAATTCCCCAAATCGGTACTTATTTATTTTTGCATTATCTAATTGGGCCATTCAGGCTGTGTGAGTGCTGTGGCCTCAGGGAACCTCTTCCCCGGCTTTCACCCATGGCGTTCTGTCTCCCAGCATCTGGGCAGCTTTCTCTGGCACCCTGGCCTGCCCAGGCCCCAGCTGCTGTCAGCAGGTCAGCATCAGGCCCCAGGGAGCACACCATCATGAGAGACGGAAGAGGCCCAGAGCTGCCCTTGTACATGGACTTCACCTCCACAGGCCTGAAGACCAAGGAATCTCCTTGGATTTAAACTCTGGGTCTCAGAACACTGTTGAATGGGAGGGAGTGGGCTGGCCTGGCAGTACTCCGAGATGTTCCCGCTCTCAAGTGCTCCCCCTCTCGTGCCAAGCCTGCCCTGGGGGGGGGGGGGGGAGCTTTTCCCTCATCAGAAGGGTCAGGTGAGAAGTCCTGAGGATCAGCTGGGCCAAGGGGGGCTCTCATTCCCTCACAGCCCCTGCCGGAGACGCTTGCAAAGAGCCAGCATGGGGGCAAAAGCTGCATTGTGTGCCGGGTGGGGGTCTCTGTGGTGTGCAGAGCAGGGAAGGGAGGGGGTGGAGGACACTCCGAGGTTCCAGGTGGCCCTCATGCTCTTGAACTGCCACCCCTCTGGCTGGCTCTCACTCCCCCTCAGTCAGACACAACGTTTGCTTAGAGGGGAACAGTTGCAATGGCACTGACCTTGGAGTGTCCTACCGGGCGTTATCGTCCATGTTTCTTCCGTTCCTTGGCTGGGAAAAAAAAAAAAAAAAAGAAGCAGCTTACAGATACTGAGACAAAACTGCCTGGAACCTGTTTCTGGGCTTCAGATCCTTCCTCACCTGGGCCCTAAGGCCTCATTCTAGCTGGGATGTCAGCGGCCTCCTTGGGAGTTCACCTGGGAAGCCCTCGCCCAGGGCAAGGATGTAGATCCCCTGTGGCAGTGCCCCAGGACCCTTGCTGTTCCTCCAGCCCTGACACCGACCCCTCCTCTTCCCCACCTCCTCTCCCTACCCCACCCCCCACCCTCCCCCACCCCCGTCTCCACTGGATGCAGCAGGACGGTCTTCAAACCATTTATCAAAGGACTTCTCACCCTGAAGACATCATGGAGACCCACTGTTTCTCAAGTACTTTCTAGAGAACAACCACTAATAGGTCATACAGGCAGCATGGAGTGGAAGAACTTCCATGATCAAACATGGTGGAAACTATGTTTCCCACAGCTTTCTTATATAGTTCCTGCAGGACATGCCGGTGTGCACTGTGAACCTTCAAGAGTGTTGGGTGCAGTCTTTCCCAAGCTTGTCTGATCTTTGCACCAGTGACCCACAGAATAGTTTGAGGGGCAGGAATCTGTCTGATTCATGGTCTGATATTTTGGATGCAAACCCTTGAGGATCGAGGGGATGAAGCATAGCTAGTGAGTGGCGGATCACAAACTAAGAGTTTCTGATTCTGTGACCTTTGCAGGAGGCTCGGAGACCCCAGGTAAGGAGGAGGGGATGGCGCCTACACTATTTGGGGGCACGTATCCTGGACCTCCATGCCCAGGGACACAGATGCCAATTCTGGCTGGCCCCCGTGTGTGTCCATCAGCAGCATTCCTGCCTCCCACCCACGCTCCCAGAGCTCTGGTTCTCTCAGCCTATGTCCTTCGGCACCCTTTCTTTCATAAACGTCAGGTTTCTAGGAGACTTTGAAATTCACCCCTCAGGAAAGGATGAGAGAGTCCCCATAATTATTCACCAGTTTGCCATGGGGTGCTGGGCTGTGCTTATTCTGGAGAATCCATAATTGTGTGGCAGGAGGGAACTGCGGTTAAAAACAGAGAAAAAGAAATGCTATACCCTGAAAAGGAAAAATGGTCGTCCCCAGGTGGCAATGTGATCCTGCAACATAAAAACACAAACCATTATGCAACCAGTTTGTGCCAAAGGTCTGACGATGTCTATGACCGCAGTTTTCAAAGTGTGGTCCCCAGACCAAAAGCATCAACGACACCTGAGACTTGGTTAGAAATGCAAATTCTCAGGTCCCCGCTGACTACCTGGAGTTGGGGCCTAGCCATCTGAATCTTAACAACATTCCAAGGTATGGATGACTCATGGTCAACTTGGAGAAGAGCTGGTATACGGGGCTTATGCACTCGCAGTACCTCTCCCCAAGTTTGTACAACTGCCACGTAGGCCCCTGAGCCACATCAAGCAAATCCTCAGGAACAGATGGGTCCAGGTGACTCATCTGCAAGGCTGGAGATGAAATATAAACAGCCAAAAGCATTGCTCTGGGAGTCCTCTCTGCCTCAGGACAAGCTCAGGAAAACCTGAAATTAAATGCTCAGCCTCAGAGAAGATTTTAGGGGCATACTGTGAGACCAGTTCTTTCCAGAAATGATCTAAAGAGGTGACAAGATTGCCCATCTCCAAGCACTTCTCCACAGAGCTTCCATACCTTCTTGGTGAAATCCACTGTGGCAGTCCCTGAATCCTGGGAGGGAACGAGGCACAGGTTAACGTAACAAGAACTGCATCCCCCAGGCTTGCAGTCATTCCACTGTGACCCTGTGCCTCCCTGGCTCCATCCTCAGGTACCAGAAATCGGGGGCAAAAAAGCAGTTTAGGGGAAGGGCTAACTATGTAACCAATTATAATTGCCTGTTCCAGAAGATAGGCATGTTCTTGATTGAGGTACCATTTGTGTCCAGAACAATGTTAAATTGGCTTGCTCTTCCCAATGGCGTCAACTTGAAATTGACCCCCCATCCAAGGGTATGCCCTGGCAGCTTCTTCAGCTTGTCTTTGCTTGTGGGTCTGGCCTAACAACAGATCAGACTCAATCTGGAAGGCTTTGGGGAGCAGCGGGATCAGACAAGACACACTGCTGCCAGTGCTTAAGATGATCAACCCATTTCCCAGGAACTGAGCAGCTTCCTGGGGCTCTTGGGATTTTCAGAGCTAAAACCAGGAACGTCCTGGGCAAACCAGGATGAAATTCAGCATTCGAAAGAAAATGTTTTTTCTTTCTTTCTTTCTTTCTTCCTTCCTTCCTCTTTCTCTTTCTTTCTTTCTTTCTTTCTTTCTTTCTTTCTTTCTTTTTTCTTTCTTTCTTTCTTTCTTTCCTTTCTTTCTTTCTTTCTTTCTTTCTTTCTTTCTTTCTTTCTTTCTTTCTTTCTTTCTTTCTTTCC